TGAAGCCCAAGCACTACGCCGAGATGGCGCGCTCCCTGAATGTAGCCGCAGCGCACCGCCGCGAGACTGTCCAACACGGCGATGTTCGGCGGCTGGAACCTTGGGCGCGTGAATGCGTCTTGGTGCCTGGGTGTGTTTCTGCGGAGTGACTTTGGGCGTCAGACAGGTGACGTCGCGCGGCGCGCTGATGATGAATATGCCAAGGCGGTTGCGCAGAAGCAGGAGGAGTGGGAACCGTTTGCTCGGCAGTCCTTCGATTGCGGTGTTCGGGCAGCCCACCGCGCTGCCAATGTCAAGGACATGCAGCAGGTGCTAGACACTTGGGAGGATCGCGCAGCACTGGCCGCGCCCGAGGCCCCTTGTGATCGCGAAATGGATGAGTGGCGCGAGAATCGGAGGCATCACGGCGCAAGTCCGTTGCGTCCCCCCGAATTGGATCAGTGGCCGCTGCTACCGCACAGTTCGCTTGGAATGATGAAGGAGGCGATCCTGTCTTCCCCGCTGATGACGGCTGCTTCCCCTAGAAATATTGCGATGCGGGCATTTGTTTGCGCTCCTGCTATGGGGCTGTTTCACGCTGGCGCGGCCCCTTAAGAAATGCGAACTATTGGGTGAGCGGCCTTCTCCTCGGGTTTGGAATGAGATGGTCCGGAAGCAATCGTCTCATCGCGCTGACGGATTGCACGCTTCACCCGTGGCCGCGGGCGCGCTGGACTGTCACAACGGCCCCGCTCGTCGCGAACCACCCGCCGACGGGCACCTGGGGCTCGGGGGGCTTGCGTTCCTCATCGAAGGCGGCTGTGAAGTTTCAACTCGGAAGCAGAAGTTGCTGGCGCTGTCAACGTGCACCTCATCGCTGCATCGCTGGATGCATGGATGCTCTCTGAGCCAGCGCTTCGCCTTGCGCTGCTTCATTGATCCAGACACGTCGCGCACGAACTTCGGCTTCTTTGGACGCGCTGCCAACGCCATGCGTTGCCGCGCAGGTTGCAGGTCTTTGGTTCGGCAAGTTATGCTGTCAAGGTGTCCCAAGATATCCTGGCCGGGCGCTCGCGTGCCCGCGGTATCCCGTCGGCCCCCCTGCTCAGGCTGCTTGACCGCATGCGTCGCCCAGGGGTGGTCGGTGGCCCCTCGCGCCTTCATTGACGACGCATCTCTGCAGTGGACGGGTACCTCTCTCACTAATATGGCTGGACTTTGGCAAGCTGCTGCCGGCATAAACCAGGCTCTTTCATTTGGGGTCTTGCGGTGCTGCCTGAGAAGTCACGTTTTGCGGCGTCTTCTGCTGCGGCCGAGCTCAAGGCTCGGCGGCGCCCCGGGGCAGGTGGACCGATTGCGCGCAAGGCGATTCGCAACTTAGGTCACGATCACCATGGCAAGCGCGTCTCGCCGAAGCAGACTCAGAAGCGCGAGGGCGCTGGCGGCCAGGCGCGCCCCGACGTTGTTGTTCAAGCGCGCCGTTGATCCTAAGGTTGGACACTCGTGGAAGACGGACCTTTTGCCAGCGGCAGCACGCGGTGCAAGCGCTTCTGCTTTGAAAGAGGAGGTACTCACTAGGCTGCGCTCCATGGCTGGGATGCTTGTCGGCGCTCGCCCAGGTTCTCCGTCGCTGACCTTGCAGTTGGCTATGCAGCAGAATGCAGAGTAAAACCGATGTTTTCAAATAGTTGTGATATTGTGATTCGTCATGCTGGTTGGATATGGGATGCTCGCACCTCGCTTACCCAGCTGCATCATGCAGGGTCAGCGACCACCACTCAGCTATATCATGAGCAGCCGCGGCGGCAAGCAAGGGTCCTATTGGTGCGGCGACGCTCAGCCTATGGTGCATTGCCTGGGCGATGCATGTTACGACTATTCATACATCGAACCAGATTGAATATATATATATATACATATATATCACTCAGTGTCACCACCCCAATGGTGACCAGGCTCGGCTGTGGATGCGCCCCCATCGCGCGTGCATCGATGCTCCACGTGCTGCAGTCTAGGGCCCATCGGCTGCCTCGTTAAGGGTTCATTGGTCGGGAGTGCAGTGGACACAGGCACTACGGCATGCAGTTAGGACGGTTTACCCGCCAAGGTGTTTGACATGTGGAGCCGTTCCTGATACACCAGGGCATCGGTTCTATGGTTGGGGGCCTGTACATCCTGAGGGGGACGAGCTTGAGACGGATGCCCGTGTGCTACCTGAACGGTTGCAAGCTACGCGTGACTTCATGCACGGCCAAAGCCTCAAGGTGCCCGGTGAGCCGCCCTGGAACTTGTTCGAGTTGGGCGTGGCGCTGCCGCGCATGCCTGCCGAGGTGGTGGGCCGTCTGCCAACGTCAGGGTGACTAGATGAGGTGCTTGGTCTACGCCGTCGCACATTGTGCTCACCGATGGATTGGGTTTCTCTTCAGATGCACCGGAAGTCGTGCGTTGTGGCTGGGGGCATTGTCACGATTAGCCAGGCAAGGCTACCCATGCGAGGGGCCTGCGGCCCCACCCCTGGGTTATTGCAATCTGTCAGTAGGTCAGAGCGTTTCGCAGTACGCATGGCCCTTCGTCTGTTGGGGGAGTTTGACTATGCGTGTGTACCGATGTGCTGGCCCTTTTGCGAGGAGGACAACAGTTGGTCTGATGCATTGAAGTCCGCGTCTGGCACTCATGCCACTATCTGGGGACAGATCAAGGTGGCGGCAGGTGTCCGAAGGACGAGTTTCTTTTGGGTGCCGTCGCACAGGTTTTTGGCAGAATACAGCGAGATCGGCATACCACGCGTGCTTGTTCGTGGCAACCTTTGGGCTGATTGAATTGCTCGGGCTGGTGCGTTGGAGCATCGGGCCGGCCAGGTACATGAGGAGTTCCATTGGTTCGAGTACCATCAGCACCAGCAAGTGACAAAACGCATGGCTTGGACTATGCGTCGCATGCAAAAAGCTGGAGGCTGGGAGCACACTGGCAGCGCCAAGCAAGTCGTGAAGCTGAACCCCCAGCCGAGGCTACTGGTCGTCAGCCACGTCTTGGTGTGGTTGCCAATTCATGGATCCTTGATGTGTCAATTATGTTGCAGGCTTACCACGGCGAGTGCTGGACCAACCTTGGCCCGCAGCTTGCGGTCCGACTGCAAGCCCACCTTTGACAGGCTCAGAGCGGAGGCGCATATTTCCAAATTTGGTGTTGTGACCGTTGCCTCCTCAGAGGCTATTTGGTGCTGTGACCGCTGCCTCCTCAGAGGCTGTAGCGGCTGCCATGGAGGCGGTGGATGCTTTTGAATTTCAGGATGGTGTCGAGTTCGTTCCTGCTGAGGGGTTCGTTTCATCCCGATGGCAGATGGAAGAGGTAATTGAGCATGATGGGCATCGACTTCGGCGCGCTGGTGCTACGATTTGTTGTGAGAAGTGTGTGGTTTGGTCTTCTACTGGGCATTCGGCTTCTCTACATCAGCCCTGCGAGAGCTTTCCGAGTGGTCAAGAGCGTGCGTCGACCTATTTGTCTAACATCAGAGGTCGGCTTGGAAGGATGACGGCATCCAGGCACCCCAAGACGAACGAGGCGCTCTGATGTCGGCGTTCTTGGGATTTCTTTCCCATATCTTCCATACTCAATATTATTCCTTTTCTGGTTATGTTGCTGAATTCGTGAAGTGTCCAGCTTACTGTACATGCTTCGACGAGGTTGTCTCTCCTTGAGTTTCCTGGGATGGGAAGGTACTTCGCTGACCTGCCGTGGTGTTTGATGCTGCAGGGTTTTTCATCAGGCCCAGCCGCTGCTGGGCCTGGTTGGCTGCCAGTCCAGGCTGGTAGTGGGCTGGGAAAGGTCCCCGCGAGTCCCGCCTTGCTGGCGTCCTCGACGGTTTCCTTGTCCTCGAGCCGGCCTGCTTCTTTCAGGCCCAGTTGTGCTGGGCCTCTGCGGCTGCCAGTCCTGGCTGGTACGGTAAGGGGACAAAAAAGTGAAACCCCGTCGTCGTCGACACCATGTTCGTCCCCCCCTTCCCCCACTTCAAAGTTGGGCTCTGGCATGGTGGAGGCCGCAAGGGTTTCACTTTTCTGGTCCCTTCAAGCCTGTGCTCTTGAACGCCTGGGATCAACTTTGAATGTGGGGGGGAGGGAAGGGGCCAGAGTCAAGGGTTTCACTTTTTTGGCCATCTACGGAAGGATTAAGTCCGGCGTGTCCCCCTACAGGGGGATTTTCGACGAAAAAGGAAAAATACTCCAAAAAATACTCCAAAATGGTCAAATCAAAAAATAATCCCCAGACTATTTTTCGATTATTTTTGAGGATTCCCCCTGTAGAGGGACAGGTCCGATTTAACGGTAGGAGGCTGGGGGAGGTCCCCACGAGTCTCGATGTGCTGGGCCGACGCGTCGCCGGCGTGCTGGACATCTGCGTGGCCTCGGTCGAGGCATGAGCCGGCAACCCTGGCCGCCCCTGCCGCCAGCTGTCTGGCCACAGACGGCTGCGCCCAGTCTCATTCCCTCCTTACCTCCTCCTCCGCCTCATCCTTCTCCTCCTCCTCCTCCTCCTCCTCCTCCTCCTCCTCCTCCTCCTCATCATCATCATCATCATCATCATCATCATCATCATCATCATCATCATGATCAGCATCATAATCATCAGCAGCAGCAGCATCACCATCAGCATCGTCGTCGTCAATATCATCACCATCATCATCACCATCAGCATCATCATCATCATCGTCATTATCGTCATCGTCATCATCATCATCATCATCATCATCGTCGTCATTATCGTCATCATCATCATCAGCATCATCATCGTCATCATCATAATCAGCATCACTATCAACATCATCATCATCATCATCATCATCATCATCATCATCATCATTATCATCATCATCATCATCATCATCATCATCGTCGTCATCAGCAGCAGCAGCAGCATCATCGCCAGCGTCGCCGTCATCATCATCAATAGCAGCAGCAACACCATCGTCATCCCCATCGTATTCATTCGCATCAACAGAACTGCCAAGGCGGCAGCGCGCGGACCACTGCTCCGCCAATGCTCTGCAGGCCGAAGAAGTGATTGAACGGACCCTCACCTGAGTGGGCATTCCGCGCGCGCGTGCGCCCTCGCAGCACTTTCACGGCTTCCGCATCCTCCTCCGCCTCCTCCCTCCACCCTCTCTCCCTCCCCGTCGTCGTCGGTACAACCCGCCACGGGTGAGCCAGACGGCATATTGCAAAACGAGCCAAATGATTGAACGGACTTGGTTGACATGACTGCTCCACCTGGCTTGCAAGCCCATAAGATAAACCTGGCCAACCTGCCTCACCACGACGTGATTGGCGGACACACAGGTCGACATAGGCACAGCTTCGGCGGCAGCGGAGACGGAGGACCCCTAAGGCCCAAGGCTGTCAAAGCTCGATACTTCCAATATGCACTGGCCAGAGCGCGGTAGCAACCATGGCAAGTATGGACTTTCTCCCATATGCGCAAAAAGGGGCAAGGCTTACGCTAGCAAGTAACAAACTACGCGCCGCACTCACGGCACACATTCCACTGGCCGACCCCGTGTCGCAAAACTGCCGCTGGCTGTTCCACGCGGGAGCGGGCGCGCCCTGGATGAGAACAGGCCGTGCGCACACTCATGGTGCAATGACCAATCGAAGATCTTCTGATGAAACTTTACTGACAGCGACCGCGGCGACGGCGACGGCGAAGGGTGCGTCGACGAGGACGACGCGAACGGAGACAACGCCGTCGACGGCGACGGCGGCAGTGGCGAAGGTGATGGTAGCGATGGCGACAACGACAGCGACATTGTCGGCAAAGGCGACGGTGGCGATGGCGAGGGCGAAGGCCAAGACCACGGCGGCAACGGCGGCGGCGCCGGCGAGGGCACCGGCGGCGATGGCGAGAGCGGCGACGGTGACGACCACGGCGGCGACAGCGACGGCGGCGACGACGCAGACGGCAGCATCACACTTGTCTGGTCCGTTCGAGCGGCTGGAATGCGGACGCTCTGCAAAAATGCACTGCTGGAGCACAACCTTGTTCTCGGCGCGGGTTGCTGCAACGTCTTGGCTCGATGCGACTTGTGGGCGTTTTTTTATTCGGCGTTTCGACATCGGAAGGAAGGGGGGGGGAGAGGGGGAGGGTCTGGCAGTGCGACTGTTTGGGACCATGCGTCCCATGGGGGAGGCTCCACCTGCTCGAAAAAGGCGCCACAAAAAAACAGCCAAGATCTACTCCATGGGGGGGGGAGGGGGGTCGAGGGCCCGCGCCAAACGACAAAACAATGAATAAAAAAAAAATCGCGCTGGAGCGACACCCCGTTTAGGCTGCCTGGTGTAAACAGAAGAGAAGGAGGGGAGGGAGGGGAGGTCGCGGCGGCTGAAGGCGCTAGCATTGCATTCACATATCGTTATCACATGGGCCACGGGCGCAGCGAGAATCAGAGCGCGAACATCGACCGAGCGAGAACCCGTTACACACACACACACACACACATCCAATCTCAAATGTCCGATTTCTAGCTCTCGCTAATGTGTCAAACCGCCAGCTGCTCCCCAGAGTGCTGCGCGGGCCAACGTGAAGGAGACCCAGAAGACCCTTCACGACGTCCGCTCCCCTCCTCCTCCTCCTCCTCCTCCTCCTCCTCCTCCTCCTCCTCCTCCTCCTCTTCATCCTCATAATCCTCATCATCATCCTCATCCTCATCCTGATCCTCATCATCATCCTCATCCTCATCATCATCCTCATCCTCATCCTCATCCTCATCCTCATCCTCATCCTCATCATCATCATCATCATCATCATCATCATCATCATCATCATCATCATCATCACTACCACCATCACCATCACCATCATGGCTTGGGTTCTAGATGGCTTGGGTCCTTCCCCCTAAAGCCACGAAGACACAAAAAACAAACAAACAAGCTGTGAGGGCTGAGCGGTGGAGAAATGGTAGGAAGGCCGATCGTATTGAATTCTCGATCTCTGCTGTAATTTGTTGCCCACGGGGCAGACGGGCAGAGATCCTTCTGCTTCTGCGGCTGAACTCTTCACGAGCACCAGGGGAGCAGCAGCTAAAGCACAAATCAGATGCCCTCCCAACAAGGCCAGCACAGTACTCACTGGCGCTCTCAGGCGGGCCTCCCCTTCGATCAGGAAGAGCAGGATGTCTGAGACCACCGGGAGCGGCACCCTGAGGAGAGTGAGCGTGAGACGTAGGCAGAATACGATGAGTTGAAGCACCAGTTCGGCCATGCGCCCCAGTATGTTCAGCAGCTGTGCGTTCTCGGAAATGATACAGCCAAAGCGTCGTGACGGCAGTGCCCCCGCAAAGCCGTTAAGTTCCCGTAGAAAAACCACAAAAATGTCGCAACGCAAATGTCCCCAGGTCGAGGTTTGACAGAATTGCTGAAGTTGATGACGGGTTGCGCAACCCACTTGGATTCGAAACGCGACGTCGAGTAGTGTGAACAACACGAAGCAGCTGAATCCCGCAGCCTGAACTCCAGCCGATGTTTCAATTTC